GCTCAATGAGGAGTAAAATGAACAAATCTAGTAAAATGGAAGAAGACACGTTGCATAAGTAATAGAACTTCACCGAGTAAAGATTGAGTATGAGCAATCTAGTTGCTCGGATTAATGGTCAGTTTTACTGAATGACACCACATGGAGGACCGTACTTAAACCGCAAATCATGTAATCTCCCCTGTAAAGGACTCAACTGCCTTCGTTTTACCACTTTAGCAGCAGTTGTTATCTCTTAGGAGGACCTAGAAGCATGTATTGATGTGATTTTTCGCTTCCGTTTGAACTTGTGAGGCTTTTCATAAGATCTAAATTCAAATAGTATTTGGTTACAAAGTATGCAGCATTTCACAGTGAAAAAGTTGGTCTTAGAGGTTTGCTTGTTTATGCAAGGATACTCAGACAACAAATTATCATTTCCTAAACTACTGATCATAATAGAAAAACGATGTTTATTCGTATTCTCAGATCGGTGTTCACATTAAAGGATGCTTTTAGCTATTTGAGAGTACCTTTATTCCTGACGTGAAATGGTGTGAAACTAAAAGAATGAAGGCAATTTATGTGAATCCAAATGGAAAACGACGAGTGGGTCGTCAGTGCGAAGGTGACATGCAGGAGGTCATGTGGCGAAGAGGAGTAGGAGTTGATAGATTATGGCCGATCGTGGACCCAGCCGAAGAGGACAGCAGAAAACATAACAAAGTGGAAATGTGTTGTTGGAGCCCTATGTTCCACTAGGAACCCAAGGGAATAATACTATATTGCATTTACAAGTAACATGCGATAGAAAATCGTGCGATACAGCCAATAACAAATGAGAATTTTCAGTGCACAATGTTAGCCATAACGGTCTGATTAATAGGAGTCCACTAGCCATAATGAAAATTTGATGGTATTTGAACAGAATGCCTTTAGTTTTATATAACTAGACTCTAAAACGGAAGTATGTGCAAACGAAGGGTCGGTCGTCTGGTTACATAACATAACAGTTAATAAACCGTGACTGTCATATAATTTGAACACATTTGAACACATGGAGAACAGCCTCGAGATCCTTCTCAGTTTACTCTTCAAGAACAAAAAAACCAGTGAAGTAATAGAGCTTTGGGGCGAACTTAAATATGCAGAGAGGCACACTGATTATTTTTGTCCTTTTAGAAAGATATCTTTTATTAACATTGTCAGTGCTGACCAGTCTAGTATTCACATGCGTAACCGTTCAAGGCCATACCCATGTCTTTATATTATAATCATGATTTCGGATGAACAGATGGCTTACTATTTTTTTAAGTTTTCTCTAATCTCCTTGTCATTAAAAATGACTCATTTCCCTTTCAGAAGTAAAGCCAACATTATTTCTTACGGAAAGAAATAAATTTAAGGGCTTTAACAAAAATAGCCATTTTATCACATGTGCGTCGGTGGCAGAGTGGTTAGGACTCTCGCCGACCATGCACATGGTCTCGGGTTCATTCCCTGCCGACGCACACCCGATATCTATGGTCGGCCTGCGAAATTCGGGCTACCGACATCCACGCTGAAAATTCTAAACTTGTACTGAAAATACGGTGTGGCATCAAGCCGTAATCAAAAATTAAAAAATATTGGAGCAACTAGTGACAAAGGAACGTTGAATGATCTTGATGAAAATAGTTAGCCAGCAAAACTTAAAATGCTAAATTTTCATAGCCGCTTTTTGCATGGTATGTTAGGCAGTGAAAAGCAGTGCGTCTACTTATATGATGAAAATGATATTTTTAAACAGATTTGAAGATTATACATTTAAATATGTGCAAGGAAATGGGTAGCAACTGACTGAAATCATTCACTTTTACTCAAAACGATAGAGTTATCATGCTGTGCATATTATTAAAAGATTTTGTCACCAATATAATTTTTCAAGAAATAATTGTACGAAATCTGCTCAATGAGGAGTAAAATGAACAAATCTAGTAAAATGGAAGAAGACACGTTGCATAAGTAATAGAACTTCACCGAGTAAAGATTGAGTATGAGCAATCTAGTTGCTCGGATTAATGGTCAGTTTTACTGAATGACACCACATGGAGGACCGTACTTAAACCGCAAATCATGTAATCTCCCCTGTAAAGGACTCAACTGCCTTCGTTTTACCACTTTAGCAGCAGTTGTTATCTCTTAGGAGGACCTAGAAGCATGTATTGATGTGATTTTTCGCTTCCGTTTGAACTTGTGAGGCTTTTCATAAGATCTAAATTCAAATAGTATTTGGTTACAAAGTATGCAGCATTTCACAGTGAAAAAGTTGGTCTTAGAGGTTTGCTTGTTTATGCAAGGATACTCAGACAACAAATTATCATTTCCTAAACTACTGATCATAATAGAAAAACGATGTTTATTCGTATTCTCAGATCGGTGTTCACATTAAAGGATGCTTTTAGCTATTTGAGAGTACCTTTATTCCTGACGTGAAATGGTGTGAAACTAAAAGAATGAAGGCAATTTATGTGAATCCAAATGGAAAACGACGAGTGGGTCGTCAGTGCGAAGGTGACATGCAGGAGGTCATGTGGCGAAGAGGAGTAGGAGTTGATAGATTATGGCCGATCGTGGACCCAGCCGAAGAGGACAGCAGAAAACATAACAAAGTGGAAATGTGTTGTTGGAGCCCTATGTTCCACTAGGAACCCAAGGGAATAATACTATATTGCATTTACAAGTAACATGCGATAGAAAATCGTGCGATACAGCCAATAACAAATGAGAATTTTCAGTGCACAATGTTAGCCATAACGGTCTGATTAATAGGAGTCCACTAGCCATAATGAAAATTTGATGGTATTTGAACAGAATGCCTTTAGTTTTATATAACTAGACTCTAAAACGGAAGTATGTGCAAACGAAGGGTCGGTCGTCTGGTTACATAACATAACAGTTAATAAACCGTGACTGTCATATAATTTGAACACATTTGAACACATGGAGAACAGCCTCGAGATCCTTCTCAGTTTACTCTTCAAGAACAAAAAAACCAGTGAAGTAATAGAGCTTTGGGGCGAACTTAAATATGCAGAGAGGCACACTGATTATTTTTGTCCTTTTAGAAAGATATCTTTTATTAACATTGTCAGTGCTGACCAGTCTAGTATTCACATGCGTAACCGTTCAAGGCCATACCCATGTCTTTATATTATAATCATGATTTCGGATGAACAGATGGCTTACTATTTTTTTAAGTTTTCTCTAATCTCCTTGTCATTAAAAATGACTCATTTCCCTTTCAGAAGTAAAGCCAACATTATTTCTTACGGAAAGAAATAAATTTAAGGGCTTTAACAAAAATAGCCATTTTATCACATGTGCGTCGGTGGCAGAGTGGTTAGGACTCTCGCCGACCATGCACATGGTCTGGGGTTCATTCTCTGCCGACGCACACCTGATATCTATGGTCTGCCTGCAAAATTTGGGCTACCGGTATCACATGCTGAAAATTCCATGGCTATACCACAAAATAAGGTGTGAAATCAAGCTGTAATCAAAAAATATCATTTACATAATCGGAAAGTCAAGCAAACAGACACAAACTTGAAATCATAATGCGGTGCGTTTACCTGCCAGCATGATTGCCTATCTGGATTATCAAAACGATTATTCACCTGAAAGCAAGATATCGTGGGGTCACAGGAAAATTAATTTTTATTTTATTCTTTTATTTTTGATTACAGCTTGATTTCACACCGTATGTTTTGGTACATGTATGGAATTTTCAGCATGCGATATCGGTAGACCAAATTTTGCAGGCCGACCATAGATATCGGGTGTGCGTTGGCAGGGAATCGAACCCCGGACCATGTGCATGGTTTCCGAGAGTCCTAACCTCTTTGCCACCAACGCACGGTTGTATCCACAAAATCGCATTTTAAAAACTTATTAGAGTCGATGCCCTTACGTTACTTTGGTTTTAAAACTGACTAGAATATAATAGCTTGTTATTAAATCCACAAACTGATTTCCAGCGAAACCTCTCTTTGAATGACAAGCACTATAATATATTGTTGCAACAAGTCAGAGAATAATTTGAAACCTGGGGAATTTTCCACAGATTCTGCTAGGCTTTGACAAGGTGACTCACATATCACCCACGAAATTAAAAGGTTTCTGAGTCAACAGCAGCCTGCTAGACCAGATCGCAGAAACCTTCGGTAGGGGAAGGAAAATGAGGATAAGTGTGGAACTTACCACCTAAACGACGGTACGTAGTGGTTTGCTACAAGATACTTAACTTTAAAGTATTAAGGATATCGACAAGTATGTAATTTACATTGGCAGGATAGTACGCGCATATAACCTTGCACTCCTAATTTACTTGTTCGAGGTGACCGGGGAAAAATCTCTTTGTTGCGTCAAGTAGTTGCTGTCAACATAGAAGACTGAGTAACTGTGTTCACTGAAGGCACAACTGCCAGCGTTTACAGAGTAGTGGGGTACCCCCTCAGCAGTTCAGACACATATTTACCAAGGTCTCATTATAATTTATGGCACAAAAGCAACTGTAGATTATCGCTAATGCCAACAGAACCCTTTGAGTAATGTGTGGGACTTTCACTAGAACCACCGCCTGTGTGATTATCACTATATAAACTGTACCCGTGTGGTCTGCACTTGAAACTGCATCCAGTTGATCAAGCTGTGTCCATAAGATGACTCAAGCATCCTGGGAAGTCTGTGAAAGATATCCACACGTAAGAACTCTATCATGATTAATTTATGATACCAGGAAGGACTAAAAGGATTGAATCGCTTCTTCCCTTCTATCCAAAGGCAGAGATGTAATCACGATAATCAGAATTTCAGGAAGTTATAGTGTACCCGATTTACCTCTTCTTTCTACTAGGTCAGGCCTTATTAGAGCATAAGGGAAGAAGATTCAGAATTCAAGGTGAACTGTTCCCCTGCGGAGTACTGGTTCACTCCCTAAGTCAATTACCATTAAAACCAAATATCTAAAAAATGTGTCCACTTTTTCAGTCTAATCAGTAAAAAGACAAACAGATGCGTACAGATCCTTGACTTCAGAGGATAGACACAGAATTTAAGGTTACCGTCCTCAATCAAAAATTCAGAGGCTCAATGTCTTGTTTTAATGCATTAAGTAATAATACTCTTGATTCGATGGAGCTGTTTTGAAACTTGTGCCTTTAGTTCAGTTTTGGATTTTGGAGTAATGTCCATCCCAGGAATAGGAGAAATTACTTCCGACACTTCGTTTCTAACAAAAGTGGTGGATGAATACGTAGTTGGATCGTCATGGACTCAGGAATATTCAAAAAATGATGTTAAAATATGGTCTAAGTGCTCAGACAATAACGGGATCAAAGCTTTTAAAGCCTCTGCACTTTTCAAAGGTGTATCTGGACCTGCATTATTTGATTGTCTTATGGACTCACAATATCGAAAGCAATGGGACAAGGCTATGATTGAGGGTTATGAACTGTGTCAAGTGAACAGCCAGAGTGATATAGGATATTATTCTCGTAAGCTGGTGTTTAAAGTGACTCGTCTTTTCCAATTGCAGTTCGTTCTCCACCTGGTTTACGGAACAGAGACTTCGTGCTACAGAGGACATGGGCGAAATTCGAAAATGAATATGTGATAGCATCCCATTCTGTGTTTCACAAAGTAAGTCATCCGTGCTGAGTGGTTTAACTTTCTTGATATCTAAATGTTCTTCACTGTCTCTCACTTTTATGTAACCTTCACATATTTACAGCAATATGGCGTGAAATAGAGGGGATGCCTGTCCTTTTAGTGCAGGAAAACCTCGGGTGTACTGCAGAGACATAGGGCGAAAAAGACATCAAATGATGTTGGGCAGAGATAAGGGTGCAGGGCTCATTTGTTCTAATATTATCAAATTTCCTAAAGTGCGCTCGTTTTACTCAAAGTGTCAACTACCAGCCAGTAGTTGGTTCAGACTCGAATCTGACCAATTAGTAATTCTGTGTATCTTTTCAAATCTATGCAGTTCGTGTGTGCTCCAAGTAAAAATTTAAGAAGGGGTATACATAGGTTAAAACAAGTAGGTGGGTTAAAGGACTTAGAATTAGATAAAAAACATCTTACAATCAAAATTGACAAATGTGTAAATATATTTGCGTCATTTTCATAGGCTGCTAGCAATGCTGTTCTATCAGTGGTTTCACTTAAATTAACCTTGACTAGCTGATATCTTCATGACACAGTTTTCTCACCAATGTAAAGTGTGTTTTACATGGTGCTTTGTGGAGCGTAGACAGTTCCAGTAAATTGCTAATCGACTTCCGCTTTATTTACGTTGGTCAGGCCAAATCTCCAGACATGCGTAACTCTGAGGAACTTAAATGACTTCATGACAGACCTATCAAGTGTAAGCTATGCTATGACTTACAGTCACCTTGATGGGTCCAGACAGAGAAACTAGTTCTACATTTAGGAAAATTTATACCTGTCTACATATTTCTATTAACTTCAAAGCGTTTTCTGTGCCCTTGGACTGTAATTATGTGTCGGTCCTCAGTACTACTAAAGTTTTATGGTTTTAACTCATTCTCTTAGGGTAAACGAGTATCGCTGTGAGCCCTCATATTAATTGTCGCTTATTGCATTACCTTGTGTTTGGTAAATAGATCCTCGAAATCAGTGACTGATATCAGTAGGACATAAAACTTGTTATTTTTGACTTAGTTGCATTATATGTTCGTAGTCTCAAAGCACTGTCACTTGAAGTACTGATTATATTTAAACTTGAGCGTTAATTATATTGTACAGGGAAGTGCGTTAGTTTGATACCTTCCTCCAAAAATGTTTTATGGTTGACGTAACTTCTTCCTACTGGGTAATACTTATTAAGCTAAGTAGGGCCACTTGTGTTAAGTATGGTCATATAAATATATATGTATATAGCCTGTGGCTTAGCAACAGTTTAGAATTTAGATTATTATTATTCCCTTGGGTTCCAAGCGAAACATAGGGCTTCAACAACACGTCTCCACTTTGTTTTGTTTTCTGCCGTCCTCTTTGACTCGGTCCACGATTGGCCATAATCTCTCACCTCCTCCTCACACGATCTCCCTCATGTCACCCTCGTAGTGACGACCCACTCGTCGCTTCCCATTGTGATTCCACTCGAGCAATGGCCTGCATTGCGCGCGATTTCATTCGGTGGCCTCCTCAATGTGTACCCTATCCATCTCCACTTTCTTCTGCGTAATTGTTGAGCGGTTGGCTCTTGGTTGTTGGTTTGTTCCCTTAATTTCTTGTTGCTTATTCTTTCTGGCTGGCCATTTGATCTTCAATATGGAGCCGGAGAAGCGGGCAGCTGTTGATGAAAGTCTGCAACCTGTTGGAAACCCTTTTCGTGACACACTGGCCAAGTTTCTCACCTGTGTAGAAGGACCGAATCGACATTAGTGTTGAAAATCTGAACCTTATTCCTTATGCTGAGTGGGTGTAGAAGATTTCCAAACTGGTTTCAGGTTGATGAAGACGTATCTTGCCTTTCCGATTCTGACTTTGACATCTTCATCCGTTCCGCCTACCTGTGGTTAGAACGATGCTTTCTAGATAAGTGAAGGAGGCAACCTCTGTTAAATCTCTCCTGTTGATGGTGATTGGTGCTGGTTGTTGTAGTTGTTGCTGTTGGTTGGTTATCTTCATCATCTCCGTCTTCTCTGTGTTCACCTGAAGTTCTGTTTTCGTCACCTGCCTCTTCAACCAGTTTGTTGGTTTTCACTTGCAAGTCTTCGAGTTTGTGTTACATTAGACACACATAATCTACCAGCGAAATTCAGTCTTCTCACCAGTCGTCCAGTGTATTCCTGACTCCTCACCCCCAACAGTCTGACGCATAATTCAGTCCACCGTCATTAAGAATATCATCGGTTATAATGGGCGGCCTTGACTTACTCCTGTATGCACTTCGATCGCCTCACTGAGTTTTCTGTTGTGGACCACCTGACAAGTGCTATTGTCATTTAACCAGCTATTGAATGAATTTGATAAAGATTTGGGCACTGCAAGCGGTGGTGTTGAAGCAGTTTCCAAATTACTTCTCGTTCAACACCGTCTGTTGAAGGTTTTTCGAAGTCGATGAAGTTGAGGTACAGGTTTGACTGCTATTTTATATTCCGTTTGATGATGACGATTATGCATAGAGTTGCAATTTGATCAGCATATGATTTATCTTTCCTAAATCCATTTTGTTCCGGTTGGCGGAGTTCTGTATCCAGTGCATCTTTTATTCTCTCCAGAATGATGCGACTTAGTATTTTACTTGGCGTGGACAAGAGCATTATTCCACGTCAGTCCATGCAGAGTGAGGCGTAAGTTACCTTTCTTTAGCAGCTTGACAAGGTAGCCAGCCCTCCAATCGGTAAGCAGCTTTCCTTCTTCCCAAACCTTTTGCAGTAATGGTGCGAGCACATCTACCGCAGTTTCTAGGTCCGTTTTCACTGTTTCGAGGGGAATCACATCCAGTGCTTTTGCCTTTCCGGACAGTATTCAGTAGCTTGATCGCACTTAGGATTTCTGCTTTGATTGGAGGATTGGTGTCCACAGACAGGCGGTTCTGTGCGTGCTATCAGTGGTCGTGGTGTTTCTGGGCGAGTTGCAGGTGGTCGATTCAAGAGTTCTTTGAAGTGATCATCCAACTCTTTGATTTGTTTTGCCTCCTTGGTAATCTGGTTCCCTTCACCATCTTTTATTGGTTTCATCATCTGGGTTGATCTCTTCAAAAATAGAGACCTAGTTATCTGATATAATGTCCCGAGGTCTCTTTTAGCTGCAGCCTGTCTGTCTATTCTGTTTTAGTTACCAGCCAGTGTGTCGTAGAATTGTCTTTCGGCTTTCCTAGCACTCTTCTTCACTTATTTATTCAGTGCAGTGTATTTAGAATTCAACTTTTCCCCCTGTCGCCCATGTTTGCATTGAATCATCTTCTCTTTTACCATTCTCTCATCGATCAGTTTGCATGTAAATGTCCTTTGAGAGCCATTCTTTGTCTTGTCTCTTCTTTCTTTCTAACACTGTCGTACACGTTTCCTTGGACATCATCTTCACAGAGTTATTTCTAATGTTCTTCCATGCAGGTTTCCTCAGCGACAACACGTGTCTCCGACTTTGCTCTTATCTGATCTGTAGTGAAGATATCCCTTGTAGTTTTGTCCTTCAGTTTCTGAGTGTTGAACTTGAATTACAGTGGTCTGTCTCCAGTAGCTCTGAAGGATTTCAGCTTCACCTTGAAGGTTCCTTGAATTAGATGATGGTCTGAGCCCACACCTGCTCCCTTTCTTGACTTTGTGTCCAGCAGGCTGCATCTCCACTTCCTTAAGCAGTACTGAGGTAAAGTCTTTTTGGTTTGTGGTATGTCCGTCAGGCGAAATCCGTGTTACTTTGTGTATATCCTTGTGTTTGTACACGCTCCCTCCGACCACCAAATCGTTGAAAGAGCAGAAATCTGCGAATAATTCTCCGTTCTCATTCATTTCTCCTATCGACAGCTCGTCGACCCATGATGAATCCTCTTTCAGCTTTATTTGCTCCCAGTTCAGCTGGCATTCATATCGCCCATGAGAGTTTTGATGTCACCATTTGGGATGTTGTCCATCACTGTTTGTAGTTGTCCGTGAAAATCCTCCTCCTTCTCTTGTTCGGCGTTGTTTACAGCATTGTGCATAGCATTGGATAATTGTTACCTTCTCTCCTTCCTTTTGAGTTGAATGTTGCTGTCATGATCCTGCAGAAGGAGATTGGTTCCCACTGCATTTGGGCTTTGGCTGCTACTGGTGACATCAAGTTGGCCACTCACTGCCTCAGTGCGCTTTTGGTTGTCGTCTGGGTGACCAGACCGGAGTAGATTACTGACTCTTCAGTTGACAGTTTTGATAATGCACATTCATCCCATCTGCTCTTGGAGATACCCAGCACTTCTATGCCATATCTTCGCAATTCGTTGGCTACCTGGACAGCCTTCCCAGCCAGTCTCGTAAATTGTACGGACATTCGACATCCCCATTCTTATTCTTGCTTTCATCGAGAAAGAGAGAGAGAAGACAAATCGATTGAATGGCTTTCCGAAGGCTGGCTTTCACCAGCCAGTCCGCTTTATAATTTCGCCTCTTCGAGTCGAGCGAAGAATAAGATTTTTATTTGAAGATTTTGTATCTTTAATATATTTTTTGTGTGTTGAAGTTTCTGTAGCAGTTTGATAGCTTTTGTGGTGTAGGTTTGCTAGCCCCACGCCCCACCCTTCCTCCTTACCCTGGCTTGGGACCACCTGGAAAACTAGCAAGCTACATAACTAGGTGAGGTTAAATTTAGATTATTTCGCATTGCAGGAAAGAAGAAATAGAGCAAAATTATGTACAATTGAACTATCTGTAAAAGATATCAAGTCAGATTCTGAACATCCTCTCCATACACAACTCTGTCCTTGTATTGCATCGGGAAGAACTAGAAGCAACTGTAGAAGACTGTATGCTTGGACAACTAAGTAAAAAAACTCTACAATACCTTATTTGCCAGGCACACATTATATGTGATGACAAAAGTGCGTAAGGCAGGAAATTACCACCTAACTGAGGAGCTCTAAGTAAACCGTATTAATTTTTCTGATTATTACATTGTCGCTAATATTCTCACTTAATTTAATTTCATATTCACTTCTTATTGAGCAATATTAGTAGTGTAAATTATTATTAATGTGAATGCCCTACTTTAATTATTGCTCCTGTAATGAGAAAATTAGGTGCAATATTATTACATGCTGAAAATTTCATATTGGTACCTAAAGTACTGTTTGGTCAGTCGTTGGTTTAAAAAAGCCTGTAACTAAAATCAATCATCGGTCTACCTATCTATGTGCGTCACTCATAACATGGCTAAGTGAATTTTCTTAATTTAACCTTGTGTTTTATAAAGTGAGAAGCCTACTAACCTGTGAGCAACACTCATTGTGTGTAAAGGTAATCATACCAACCAGTTTGCCAAGACTGACGTAGATCGAACGGTATCCCAACGTCTGGGACCCTGCTACTTAAAAGTGAAGGATTCAATTACAGTATTCCTCTCTGCAGACATGCTGGATTACGTTCCTTCACTCTTTAACATAAACGCACACACATTGAACGACGTATACATTTGGCAGACCATAAGCAAGGAATAAACCTTGGTGTTCCTACTAGGAAGCTTATCAACGAACTCACACGACTTTCTCAAACAGAAGCAAGATTCACAAACCATCGGATTTTTAACAGTCGATGTTTAAAAAATCATATAATTCCAAAATATTTACGCATACGTACTCCAATTAATTCAAGAAAAATAACATCAGCAGCTGATATTAGATGGTTGGAGGCAATCGGCAGGAAGCCTTGGACCTAGGTTTCGTGCTAGTCGGCACTCATCAGCAAGGCGTATCTGCAACCTTGAAGGAACTGATGTCCCTTCTGAGATTCGAACCCGCGTCACCCAGTGCTGCAGTCAGAGACGTTACCACTGAGCTATTCAGGCTCGCGACCACATTGCAAACATGACTGATAGAATTCAGTCTGCACCGAAGATAGGACTAGACACATTACACTAGTTACTGACTAGTGTTCAATCAAAAACATCAGCAGCTGAACATATCAGTAGATTATGTCTAAGAGAAGAACTACATCGAGTTACTGTGAAACTAAATAATTTACGAAATGAAATAGAAAAAGTCAAACACAAACTCAAATATATGATCAATGACAAAGATTATACAATTATTCTTGAAACATCCAAAAAAGCTAGAGAATCTGCATTGAGAAAATCAAAAAACACACAAATCAAAAAATTCAACAAACTTATTGAAGAAAAGAACACAGCAAATGAAATTGATGTTAATGCTTCATCCTCGATCGACAAAACAAAGTGGGTGATCAACCTCTCATCAAGGGAACTAAGCTCCAGTGAGATAAAAGTACTGGAGAAAGGACTAAATTTCAACGTAACAGTTAATAAATTAAAACCAGAGGATGTCATTCCTAACATGGAATTAGCGCTAGGTTCAATAGATAAGACAACAGCAGAAGAGGTTCAAGCACAATGTGCATTAACTTTGAAAAATCAAAAGAAGGCGAAATCCAAGTTTTATACTTATATCAAAAGCAAGGAAAATTCATTCAAAAGTGTCTAACAATTAAGCGTTAAGGCAATGTGTCTCAACTCCACATACTATTTATTTACTATTGTTATTCCCTTGGTTCCTAGTGGAACACACAGGGCTTCAGTAGCATAATTGTATTTCACTCCCTTCTGTCCAGTCTTATTTTGCCTGGATCCATTATTGTCCAAAGAACTTTCAGTTCCTCTCCTCTATATCACCTTTTGGTCGACATCTCTTGAATGTCTGTCTCCCCAGCATATTTCCACTCCATCTCTACTTCCCTTTGTATATTTGTTGGGCATTAAGTCCATGGTGTGTTCATTGCACAACAGAGTTCCCTGTTACTTATCCTTTCTGCCCAACCATCTGAACTTCATTATCGATCGCGTAGTTTACTAGCTGCTCATAAGTTCGGAAAAAAGAGGAAGGTTAGGCGTGCGACCAGTTAACCTAGGGTGAAAAATCGATAGCCACAGAAACTTCAAAGCACAGAAGAAGTACTTTTTTTAACGAAAAAATTCTATAATTGCTTTTCTAATTTGTTATATCTTTTTATCCTTTACAAGGGCCTCCCTGTAAGAAAACAATTTATCCGTGCATTGTCCCATATAAATGCATATATTATCCGCATCCTTAGTCCAGATTCCTGTGAAATGACATATGTTACACATTGTGATCCTCGTGGTAAGTTTTATATGCCTATTAGTTATTATCAGTGTATGTATGTATGTATATATGTGTGCGTTTTGTATCTTGTTTTCCCCTATGTATTAACATATGATCTGAGGTTTTGCTTCTTATGTGATTTCTGTCATTTAATATCGTTCTTGTAGGTTTGAAATAATACCAGAGTTATTGCATGTTAATACTCAGTTTATAGTTAAAGTTTAGTTTAGTGCGGATTTCCACTAGTAGGCTTCTTTTTTGCTGTATATGTGGGTGGTTTTTATCGAGTATGCCATTCAGATAAGTGTATTGACAGACTGGTTTCACCCAAGAACTTTGCACAGATGTGCAGCAATTCACCTTGTCACTCTCTCTCATGCAGCAAACAAACCAAGAGAACAGAGTACAGCGAGATTCAGAAGAGAGATAAGAAACAGAAATATGAGACCAAAAATAGTAATATGGAAGAACAAAAGAATTTTATTGGATATGGCAAATCACAAACAGTGAGCCATATCATCACCAATTGTCTCCAGCCTTCGTTGGGTTTTTAACATCTCGAGGACTCAAACTGGTCAGTCAGTCTACACCTTCCTAAGTGGTGTGAACTTGACTCTCATGGATTTCATTGACTGATGAAGCTATGTTTTAGTTTGACCACCGCGAGCTATCTCTTTTCCAACCTCACCGATCCTATGTTACCTGACATTCTCCGTTGAGAAAGGCTACCGATTGCTGGGTATGCATGCATAACACATGTCTTAACCATCTCAATCAATATAGCTGCTTCACAACCTCGTCGACTGACTTCCACCTGCCTTCTCACCTAACACTCTACCGAAGCCTAACCTCAGTATTGTTCACATTATGATACCACTTAACGCGAGAGATAGAACGTAGACATCTATGATCAAAGACAGGTAGTCAGTCCTTTTCATGTCTTCCACTTTCAATGACCATGTCTCACTCACAACTGGCCACAAAGGAGGACAAAGCGAACTGCTGCTATGCAGTACACACATCCTTTGGTTGACAGCCAGCCGGATATGATGTGTACTAAGCCAGAGATGGCATAAGTTCGCAGGCATATACCAAACGAGCCCCCTGTATCCGTCCTGATATTTCGTCAGCGATCAACCAGCTGGCGTTGTCTGATGCAACTTCCTAAACAAGTGTAGTGGTCAACACGCTCAGCCGCCACTTCAATCCCTATCATTAAGCTAGGAATAAGTCAATGTAGTTCAGTTTTGTAGCATCATCTTACATTTAACAGAGGAAGGAAATCGCATGTCAAGCATTCGAAGATTGTTGCTCATCAAGGTGTGTTCAGAAGACTGTGCATCTTTTCAGCGTTTCCACCAAGGAGGGAGGACTATATCATCTGCATATTCTAAGTCATCGAGATTATTCCCTGGTGGCAACAAGTCAGTCCTTGAGTCGTTGATGTCAGTTAGGTTTAAGTTCATTAGTACACTGATGTGCACTGTTCACACATATTGATTCAGTAATTGGCAGTCTATATTTGTATTTACTGTTTCATATCTTCAAGAATAAACACCAAGTTCTGCGTTAAGATGTTATTCAGTCATACATACCACAGCATATTATTAAGTATGATCTAATGATCAGAACGCTTCACGATTTTTGCGTATCATCCTTGCTCAGGGGCCATGCTAATCTTCTCTGTATCGTTCCAATTTCAGTATATGTACCACCGAAGCGAGTACGTGCGTCGCCAACCACACAGGTAGTTTGGGGTTCGATCCCTGGGTACAGACGCACTCCTTTACCTCTCTAAGCCAGTAATAAGACTGGTAAAGAGGGAAGGTTGGTTGGGCATGAGGCTAGCAACCATATCCCGTAAAAATAGACACCACTGCTACAGAAACCTCAAGCCTCTAGCTTGAAGGTGCCCTATGCTCCACTGGGAACGTAAAGGAATTTAAACAAAAAAATGATCAGAACAATGCATGTAGATCTTTTTTTCCTTCACGTTCCCCAGTGGAACATAGGGCTTCAAGCTAGTGGCTTGAAGTTTCTGTAGCAGTGTTTATTTTACAGGATGGGGTTGCTAGCCTCATGCCCAATCTTTCCTCTTTACCAGCATTCTTTTTGGCTCAGCGAGGTAAAGGAGTGCGTCGGCCGGGGATCGAGCGTCCTAACTGCTATACCGCTGACGCACCATGAAGATCTTGCTATCTACAAATTAACGTGATCAAACTACACATACTTTTACTTTCCCTAATCCCCCCATGTATAGTTTATGTACTTCCTTATAAGATTTATTCCATTAGAAAGCACGTGTTCACATTTTGTTTATATATTTTTTTTCCTAAAAACAGCCTACGCAGTGCAGTGAGAGATAAATAAATGCCTACTTCATGAGATTTAATCATTATTAATAGAAAGTGTAAGGACAATTTTAAGGCGTGTTGTAATAATAATAATAATTATTATTATTATTATCATGGATTATGGAAGATACAAAATAGGTAGCCGTATTTAACTACAGATGTTTGTTCCCTATCTTGAGTTAAATGGTATAATACGGTGAGTCATATTGAGATTAGGTGTAGGGTGTTAGGTGGTGATAAGGAGGAAAAATTAATCGATGAGATTGTGAAGCAGCTGCATCGATTGAAATGGTTCGAACATGTGTTATGCATGACTGACTAGCCATCGGTCGCCTTCCTCGAGGGGGAGAATGTAAGCTGACATAGAATGGTTCAGGTTGTTAGAAAAGAGATAGCTAGTTGTGATCAAACCTAAAAATGGCTTCATTAGTCAATGAAATCCATGAGAGTTAGTTTGAGCCAGCCAGTCAGCCACGTAAGGAGGTGCAGACTACATGGCTGGTTGGAATCCTTGGGATATTAAGAACTAATGAAGGCTGGAGACAGTTGGTGATATGGCTCAAAATCGCTCGCAATGGCTGACCCAGATGCATTCACTCTCTGTGATTTTCCATATATCCATTAAAACGTTGTGTTTTTTGGTGGTGCTATTCATTCGCCTTCACATTTCTGCTCTTAAGTCCTCGTGAACCTCTCTTTTTTCTTCACCTTTTCATGCTGCATGGAGTGTAGCATCTTGAACTAATAATGCACTTTTGTGCAGAGTTCAGTGTTGAAACTTAGTCAATCAGTTAGTCATTATGGGTTGTTTATCTTTCATGAATAGTGTATACGTCATAAGCTTTTCAGATTATATTCTTTAACTCCTGTTTTATATTCTGTGGATTGTGCGTCTGTAGTTCAAAGGAAAAACTCACCAGCCACATTGGAGATCCGAGTTTAATTTCCCGATGGATTCACTCCTAATGGAAGATAAGTCGATGAGGTTGTGAAGCTGGCTAGGACACGTGTCGCGCATGCCTTCCTCGACAGGCAATGCCAGTCAACATAGGGTTAGGTTGGAAGCGAGTTACTGGTAACCAAACCAAAACCTGGCATCAATCTATGAAAGCTTTGACAGTTAGTTTGAGATGCTTAGGGAGAGGTGTAGACTGCCTGGTTGGAGTCCTCAGGATTCTAAGAACCAATGAAGGCTGGAGATTATCAGTGATATGGCTGAAACTCCTTCTCAGTTGCGCAGATGAATTCACTCTTTTTTTTCTCCCAAATCTATTCAACCCTAATGTTATTTCCACGTTACTGCTGCACATCTGTACACAGTTCTGTTTTGAAATTCAGTCAGTCAGTCAGTTACTCTTAAATCCCGCTGTATCCGTAGCAACCCCAAAGAAGAAGGGAATTTGGAGTGAAGCTAGCAGCCCACCCCGCATCCCTTTGACACAACCTTGCCTCTGCTGAAACTTCAAAGCTCTATGTTCCACTTGGAACTCAGTAGTTGGTATTCTATGGTTGGAGGCAATCGGCTGCAGGAAGCCCTGCTTGACCTAGGTTTCGTGCTAGTTGGCACTCACCAATCAGTCTGCAAGGTGTATCTGCAACCTTGAAGGAACTTATGTCCCTCCTTCGGAGATTCAAACTGGCGTCACCTAGTGAGTGCTGCAGTCAGAGACGTTACCACTGAGCTATTCAGGCTGGCTCGCGATTGCCCTCCTGTAGGATTGTATTGGAACACAGTAGATTGTAAATGGCAACGGTGTCACTGGATATATGTGGCTTTTTAGCATAGGCAGTCAACAAGTCCTAGGCTTCAATCCCGCCGTGCCTATCTATTTCAGCTTAGTCAACTGGGTAGTGCCATTCATACAATAAGTGTGACTTACACTCTGGTGAATTCATTCTAGGCAAATGAATTCTTTTGCGTAACTATCAAGTATGGTAGTATGTGACATTCTCTCTTGGTGAATACTACTAGTATTAACTAGTTTTAGGATTTTTTTTGAAATGTTCTCATTATTGATTACCTAAGACAGCAAACACATAGTAGAATGTGTAGATCGATTTTCAAAGGAAAAGAAATCACTTAATTGGGATCACTTATTCTATTGACATTTGGAAACGGCATGATCAGTGTATTCATACAGTGCTTCTTATAATAATGCATTTAACAAATTTTTTGAATGATTAACTAACTGACTGCCTTTTTAACGTGGAACTTTGTACAGAAGGGCAGAACTTCAAGTTATCACACTTCGCGTAGCATACAAATTTAGAGAAAAGAGAGAAATAACGCAAAAGAACCAGAATGACCAGAAGTGTACATAGGAAAACCTGAGGACTTAATGGGTCTAGAAGTTAGTTCATAAGTAGTGAATGTATCTGCACCAGTGACTACGACTTTCAGGTATAGCAAAAACAGTGTCATTCCATCGACTTCTAGAGTCTCGAAGACCTCAACCACCAGTCAGTCGATATCTTTCTATGTGGTTAAAATCAACAGTCAAAGAATTCATCGATTGATGCTATGTTCTGATTTAACCACTCCTAAAGTCTTTTCCAACCTAATCCTATGTGAGGTAAGATTGCTTGTCGAGGAAGGCAGTGACTACTAGACTGCGTCACACGTGTCCTAGCCATTTCAATCGATGTAACTTAAAAGCTTATCTT